ACCTAGAAATAGCTAGTCGTCTATTTTAGCATCTGACCTAATTCTGTCTTTGCAATAATGTAGCAAAAATGGAAATAAAACAAACAAGAAATCACAAACCTTGTGTCATCTTCGCCTTAAGAGTACCATGGCCATAAATATGTGGAAACTTTTCTTTCCACAATTATACTTCAGTTATGCAAAAAGAAATAGGCCTAGCAAGTTGAGTGATTTTCTCGGGCTTATGAATATAACAGAAGAATGAAAAGGCTTTTAAAATGTACCGCATGCAATTATCAATGTATTGATATGGAATATAAATATGGAAATACATATTTCCTTTACAATATTATAACAACATGATCAGAACATTTATGGTAAATGGAAACGTAACAGACTAGAAAAAAAAAACATATGCGAAACTAATCTATTGACTATACTTATTCCATAGATTTTTATTTGATTCAAGCATTAATAATAAAAATTATATCAATATATATAGCAGAAACAAAAAAACGTATCTCAAACTCAGTCAACTTCGTAACATCTGCGTTGTTTCTCTAAAAAAAGAAAAATAGCACCAAGTTATACAGTAATATAGTAACAATAACAAACTTCAATACTGCTAAAAATAATTATAAATAAACTAATGTTACAGTAATTTAAATGACAAATTGGCTGGTTTTTCCTGATACAATGTAAATAAATAAAAATAATAATATATAATAATAATAATATATAACACCATATCATATTTAGTATTTATTTTATTTGCTGTATTTGTTATTTAGTAGAAAGCGTAGGATTCATAACAAACCGAAAATAAAAACTGTCCGATAATATTAATTGATAGTTTAGTAATAATAGTACCGGTATTAATTTTATTTGCTTTTAAGTAGCCTGTTGTTACTTATTAGAAATACAACAAAACATAAATTAAAAAAGTATGATAAACCGATTGATGAACTTGCAATGATAATTAGGCCTAGTTGTATTAAATTTAGCGTTTCGCAACTCCATTGGCGCTCCATATATTTGTTGAAAACAAACCGCGACCGAAATGAAGCGCGACCGAAATGATCTGTATTCGTCGACAGCAGTAGTACTAGTAGGCTAACTTAATTTTACACAGACTAGGCCTAGGCCAGGGCCTAGGGACTAGGCCTATAGGCCTAAAATATTCTGGCTCAGGTTGTAGAGTTACTACACAGTGCACGCTAACGTATAGATTTGATTCCGTTTCATTAATACGCCTTTTTCACGAATCGGTAGACATCTTGAAGTGATGACAAACATTGCGAATCAGCGGTGCGTAACCAACAGAAATAAGATAAGCTTTTGGGCGGATTTTTTGACATCATGTTATTTAAAAAATCATAACTCTATAACGGGGCGTCGTATCCAAAAAAAAATTCCAGCAAAATGTTCTTAAAAGACTAGTCTACACCACTATATGATTGAAAAAAAATGAAAAATTTTTTTGACCTCTGAAATCAAGATTGAAAAATAAAAGCCTATCTTAGTAGTGTATTAAAATAGGTACAGTATATGCATTACAGTGCTGTAGTACTAGTAATACTCTGAACTAGCATTGTTTTAGTTACCACACGAGAGTTTCCTGTGTTAAAAACGTGATTTACTATACTATACCTCTTTATAAAACATAACTTGTACTTTGTAATAAGAGAAATATGTATATTATCGCTACTTGGAACAGTAACAACTCGAAAGTCCTATGCTACTGCACTGTAATGCATTGGCCTATTTTAATACACTACTAAGATAGGCTTTTCTTTTTCAATCTTGATTTCAGAGGTCAAAAAAATTTTTCTATTTTTTTTCAATCATATAGTGGTGTAGACTGGTCTTTTAAGAACATTTTCCTGGAAACACTTTTTGGATACGACGCCCCGTTATGGAGTTATGATTTTTTAAATAACATGATGTCAGAAAATCAACCCAAAAGCTTATCTTATTTCTGTTGGTTACGCACCGCTGATTCGCAATGTTTGTCATCACTTCAAGATGTCTACCGATTCGTGAAAAAGGCGTATCTTGAGTGGTATTTGAAAAAGATTAGTTATTCAGAACTAGATATAGGCATAAACTTATTTAGCCTGAGAAAATAGGCCTAGGGCCTAGCCTAGGCCTATGTACAGTATGTAAATTTCATGTGAGTGAGTGCATCCAGGGTCGTCGTAAACAAAAGAAGGCTACCCTCTCCAAGCAATGCTTGCCTTTCGGATATTGTTCTGTTGCTATTACCGGTATATCTAGGTTCTCCGCCGCACGGAACATTCGACGAGCAACTTCTACTATCTGTGGAAAGTACTGGATATTCGGCCTAAATTTTTCTTGCATATCACAAAGGAAAAGTGAAGCAGTACGGACCGATATCTGACCTACTCTGCGAGATGCCATTTTGGAACTTTGAACGGTTTGAAAACGGTAGCAGGGTTGCCAGATAGTCGACAGGCTTCACGGCCAAACACACGCCATCTCACGGCCAAAGTTTTTTTCAATATCGGCCAAAATTCGGCCAGATTTTAATCCGATTAGAAGACAGCTATATGTGGGTATCAATTAAGTACAGTATTTAATTTATATTCAAAAGAAATTCAAAAGAGATAGAACCTCCACTAGAATGGAACATATACAAAGACACACAGTATGGTACAAACTTGCATTGAACTTCATAAAAAAATATGTATTTCATCCGAACAATTTATATTATTAAATGTAACTTATCTTTTAAATAAACTCTCTTACCTCACATCAGCTAAAGGGGGAACATAGATTAAGTGTTTAGTGCAAACAAAGGTACATGATTCAGGGGCGGATCCATGATTTTGAAGAGGGGAGATCAAAACGTTTCCAAAAATACCCAAAATGAAAGGGGGTCCGGGGGTCCTCCCCATGGAAAATTCCCCCCTTGAATCCGCCACTGTATGGGGAATCCTTTAACGCTCAGGTGACCTAGGGTTTTAAAACAAATACCGTATAGGCCTATACTCACGTATAAATGAGGCTTAAAATAGCAAACTACGATCGAAAAAAGGGTGTCGTCTTATACGCACGACATTCAGATTTTAGATTTTTATATTTATATTCATGTTCGTCTTATGTGCGGATGTTCGTCTTATGTGCAGATCGTCCGTAAATCTGGTTTTCTACTAGGCGAATTTATTCACGCGAATCCAAAGCGTCGGCTTATGCACATGCGCCAGACATACAAATATCAACCAAAAATCTTCTAAAACTCGGGGGTCGTCTGACACGGGTCACCTTATAGGACCTACGCGAGTGTATACGGTATTATTACGGAACCCCTGCGGAAGTTCGGGTTCCCGTTACATTTTTAAACTCTTGGTTGTAACAATAAACTCGCAAGACTGCTCGCGACTACTAGATTCTACAATTAAAGTGCGTGGTTGGCTGGGTTGTTTTGGTCGGAAAGGAAAAATTTTCTCTGTGAATTGATTCTCGAACGAGATAAAGAAAGCTCCCTAATGACTCAAGCTACTGTATACCGCTTTTATATTTTTAATAAAACCAATTTCTTCTAATTTCAAATACGTTTTCCCCTGATTTTGTGATAATTCGTTATCACGCAAGTGCTAAATGCGTGACACATTTATGACCTCGCATGTGTTTCTGCAAAATGCGTTTCATCCAATATCACTTTGAAGTAATACGTGACGGTTGGTGACTATGGCATAGATAACTGCCGGACCCTAGGTAAAATTGGTAAAAATGCACCTGATCGGACATAGAGA